GATAATAAATAATTAATAATAATAATAATAATAATAATAATAATAATAAAAATAAAGACATAAGAAATAATAATAACAGAAGAATAATGGATTAATGAATTAACTTTTACTATACTTTTATTAAAAATATAGAATTTAACAAGAATTATATTCCTAGTATCTTTCTATTTATTTAATATTATTATATCTCAACAAATATCTAAATGTTGAACAGCGTTTACAGTGTAAATGATAATTAATTGTGCAATAAATGCTCGGTATAAATTTTGTTAATAACCTACATGTACATATATACAATTGACAAAATTTGAATGTAAAAATTTAATACTGTTTACTATTATCATAATTATTATGACATAATGGAACAGCATTTGTTTTGTGTATGTATTTACAGTTTGTATTTACAGTGAAATAAAAATTTATGAAAATCATATCACATTATTTAAAGTGGAAAGAAAACTAGCGATACTTTTAATATACTGAAGAAAACTAGTGATAATTTTAATATATTGAAAATGTCAGATATTATAATTGAAAAGTAGTTTTGTACAATTAAGAAGTTAAAAACCAAAACATATATAAAAGAAATTTTGAGAGGGGTGTCCGCGATCGGTAAGAACGAAAAATTCTATCCGTGCAATACTCCAACAATTTATTGTGTAAATAAATAGTAAACATTTTAATTGTCTAATTTTTTTTTAATATTTATTAAGAATTAGATTGAAAAGATACAAAAGATGGTCTGTTTATTAAAAGATAAATTAAATCATACTTGAAAAAAAATAATCAAAAATATTGCACACATACAAACGATCCTTACTTTTATTAAAGTTGAGAACATTATCTTTATGGTAGATCTCTTTCGAAATTTTTGAGTTATACAACATGTGGAATATGTTAGAAGAAAAGGTTTATAAAATATATAAATTTAGAATGTTTAGAACAAAATATAAGATTGAAATATTTGCTTAAAATTTTTTGTTTAATTTTTTTTTAGATGACCTTGAATTTTTTGACGTTCGACCTTAAAGACCTTGACTTTTCACGATCAATGACGTTCATGAGCTTTTCATCTC